TCCTACTATGGACACAGCTATAACAGTGCTTGTATTGGTATAGGTCAGTGTTTCTCAGCTGGTGGGTTTCAAAAGGCAATCAGGGGCATTTTGTGAGGCACTGAAAATTTTATTACAAATCTAAAGCAAAGAAAACTGGGATTACAAAAGCCTTCAAACTGTGTGAGATCAAATATAGTAGTTTGTATTATAGAGGTATATCATTATCAATGATATATTTGTTACGGTTACTGTTTTACAGTACATGAGGGAGATAAAAAAAAATTGACTTTGAATAAGGGGCCATCAACCTGAAAAGGCAGAGGAACGTAGGCCAAGCTTATTTCCCTAGGAATGCAGCTGCATTGAGATAAGACCTACATTTTTGTTCCTTACTGTTCATATGACCAAATTCTGGCCCTACTGAAATCAGTGGCAATCTTATTATTGACTCCAGTGGACCAGGCTTTGGTCCATGAAGATTAGACAGAAGGTGAAGCAAACATTAAAAAATGTTTATCCTTGGGCCTGACAAACCATTGTGGACTACAGCTCTCCAAAACTTTCTGAAGCCTAAGGGCATGTCCAGATGAAGATGTAGTGCATGGCAAGCAAGGTGTAAATCTACAGTAGGCTATTCCAACATGCACTAACATGCCATGTGGACCCCACTGTTCCCTCTAAGCTGTGTGCATGTACGCACACAGATCCTAAACCCTGCACACATGGTGAAACACTGCACGCACAAAAAATGAAATACTACTTCGGAGCCAGGCCGAAATATCATTTACGGGTGACTTTTGACATTGTTTGCCAGCCATCTATCAACACAGCAAGATTCTACTAGCTGGCAAGGGGGGGAAGGGAAAGGAGGTTAAATTTCCTTTTTCTAAGTATTTAAAAATGACATAAAATAACATGGTGTAAAATTATCACAAATTAAAACTTTTAAAATGTATAAGCATTTTACTTGCTTGGGCGCAATTGCCTCCTGGTGCAGAAATTTGAACTTTGCTTCAAAAATTTGCACAGAAATTTTTTGTGCACACGGCCTGTCAAAAATTAGAGGGAACATTCACCCAGCTACCATACACTAGAAGTTCTGAAGCGTGCTTTCACGTACAAACAGAATTATGTCAAAGTATGTCTTCAAGGGGCCGTTTCTGCTAATAAAACAAAAAATCGGAAATTAAAAAAACTTTTAAGAATTTTTTAGTAGCTAGATCCACGTGGCTAGTTAGTGTGCATCAGGCTAGTATGCTGTAGATTTACACCTTGTCTTTCTGTGTACTAAGTCTCCATGTTGCCAAGCCCAAAATCTAAGAGCCTGGACTATGGCTACTGAGCCTACCACAACAGAGGCAAAGAACTTAGGCCTAGATCTGCAAAGGTATTTGGGGCTTCTAACTTAGAAAACATCCCCCAAGAACTCTATTAACCAAATATATGCTTTCTAAATCTGTTTCTATAAGGAGCCTGGCCAAGTGCCCTACCCCAGTTAGATCACTCCACAGGTACCCCACTTGTGTGTTTCTAAATCTGTCCTTTTCAGGTATGTTTTGTGTATATTTTTAGAGTAGTTAGGCCTGGGATGTGAAATGTCCTCTGGGCATGGAAAAATAGCAGCAGGTAAACTTGGGGACTTGCACATCTATACTGGACAGATTACAATTAAAGCAATGCCCTGATCGTTCCTATGACCAGCCAATCAGCTCTTGAGACAGGGAAGCACAGAGTACTCACAACACATCCATATCCCCAAATAGCTGGCTACACCACCCTTCAGGGATATTTAGCTCTTCAGTAACCTAAGCTCCAAGTGAATCCTCATCTGATTAGCTGAGTTCCACAGAAGACAAAGCTTTCTTGCCAGCTTCCCTCTTTAGCGCTGCTTCTGAAAGGGACTGGATGAGCTCAAGATCACTCGTTTCTATGTAGGCCCCAAGAGCACCTGCCTTGGTAGGGCTCAGCGTATCTCACCTGAAGAGCAGCCTCAGTGGAACTTGGCTCTATGGAGTATTCTCCCAAGCTCATCACTGTTCCAGACACACCAACCCCCACGCAGGCACAAAGCAGCTAATGTACAGTAAGGTTTTTTTCATTGCAAAATAACACATACTGATCATTTTTATTACAAGAAATAGGAATAATATTCTCTTTCTGAGGACCAGTCAGTCTGCAGCTCCTGAAAACCACCAAATACAATAGAGAGAAAACACATTGTCACTCATACATGCACCACTCAATTCACAGCACAGTACCAGCTTCTCAACATGGCTTCGCTTTTTACCACCTAACATTGTCTCATCCTTGACAAGCCACCCTTTGGGGATTCATGGACTCTCTGCAGGACTGGCTGCAGGACCCTGGGTGCCTGTCCTGTGGCAAAACAGCCTAGCAGTACCAGAGCCAGCAGAGGGAATTCTTCCCTTCTCGACGGGTTCTTATTCCCTTGTGCTTTCTCCTCTTTCTGTACCTTTATGCACATACATAGTTTCCCCTTTGAGGATGTTGGCAGAATCCACTCAGAATCTGTCCTTCTCACAGGATTTACCTTGACTAAAAAATAAGGTTTTGTTAGAACATGACCTTGAAAAATTATGTTAACATGATGTTAAACAGTTTGTTTCCATTTGCACTGGTTGCAGAGTTCTGTTTAACAGCAGTAGTCTAATTTGCTATGGGGCAAGGGCCCTTTCCCTTTTTTGAGGTCCCCCCACTTTTCATAGGTCTATATTACATCTTCCACTTTTTGGTCCCCTAACTCCAGGATACCATTTAACCACCGATAACACTCTGTGCTGGCACATGTTTGTCTCCTCCCCACAGAATTTTTCTGAAATGACACCCCGTTTAATATCTTGAAAAGTCATGTTAAGTAATATGATGATCAACAGGGCTTTGCAGCTACTGTAGGCAGGGACTAATCAAGTTTAACATTGTGTTAATGGGCTTGATTCCTCAAGATTCTTCACTCCCTCTTCCTGGCAACGGGGCAGTCTCTAATCTCCACACACACCTGCCAACATCCTCACAGGGAAACATGATTTATTTGCATAAATCTACATAAAGAAAAAGAAGGGAGCCCGCGGAGTTTCATTCTCTCTCCAACCTCCCCTCGCCAGCAGCTTAAATTCGTCACACAAGCCTGCAACCGCATTTCATTACAAACACCCTGCTTCCGTTTTAGAAGGCTGAGGGAAAGGGCCCCTTCCCTGTTTGATCTCCAAAATCCTGAGTCTCCTTAAGCCTGGGATGGGGAGCAGGGGACCTGGCAGTGTTGGGAGCTAGAAAAGTTGCAGGAGGAAATTGCTCGTTAGCTAGCCAGCTCCCATTCCTGTAGTAGGGAGCACTGCCTGCTGAGGTGCTGAGAAGCCCAGCAGCCCCTCAGCAGAGACAGAGACTCTAATTGGCAGAGGAGGGTCTTCCCCTGGAGGCAGGGTGGGAATGGGGAAGGCCTTATTGGAAATCCTGGGAGGTGCTTGCCTATGTCTAAAGGCCCCTCCCCCAGCCTTGCAAGGGGGACCGCTGGCCCCAGGAACCAAGTGAATGTGGGGGACAACTAATGAATAACAGGGTCAGGAGTGAAGGTCACAGGTTCAAAACTAGGGTTCCAGTGGGGGAGCAGAGAACCCTGAACAGTGCCCACTGCTCCTCAAAGCTATCTAGTGAGTCAGCAGATGCTGCCTAGAGGAACTCTGCCGGGATGTGTGAGACCAGGGAAGAGTAGAAATAGGCCCCAAAGTCACAGAGCACTCCCTCGTTTAGCATCCTCCTCCTGGTGTTGAAGATGGTCACTTTGGCCAGGGCCAGGAGGAGGTTGACGAGGCGGTCTCGTGACTTGGTGGGGCTGTGGACAGGGTGTGCGAAAATGAACAGCTGTGGGGAAAAGTGCAGCCCAAACCTCAACAGGAGGCTCTGGAGGAGCTAGAATAGGGGCTGTAATCTGATGCATTCAGTGTAGGCATGTGCCAGGTTTGTCCTCATGCTCCAAAAGGGGCAGGCGTCGGAGATGGGCAGGCAGTGGACCGTTCAGCACAGGATTTTGCTGCAGCTGACTCTGGTCTGGCCCATTGAAGGGGCTGCAGATGCGGACCCACAGGGCTGGACGTTGTTCCTCCCCCAGGTTCTCTTTTCTGGGGCAGCAAGATGTGGGTGGGCGAGTGAGCACGAGGCAGTTGGCATAGGTGGCTGCCGGACAGCTCGGCAGAGCATGGGAGGTAGCGCTGTAGCTGGAGCAAGGCCCGTTCTTTCCAACCTGGGTTGCTAATTGATGCACGCTTAGCTATGACGAAACGAGCGGATGTGGTACCTAACGGCTGCAGAGCTCCAGCTAGTGCTTGGCATGATGGGACTTGTAGTCCTAGCACAAGCACCCACGGCCGCCATCTGCTGAAGTTTGTCCGTTTTCCCGCTCCATGTCAACTCGTTTCTTTAACTTCACCGTCTCCGGACGGCCAGAACCCTCCACATTCCAACGTGGGTTCCACAGGAGCGGGGTCCTTCCGCTCAAGGCTGCCAGACGCTGCCTGACAAAAATATTTTTCTTCAAGGGGCCGTTTCTGCTAATAAAACAAAAAACCAGAAATTAAAAAAAAACCACCCCTCACACTGAAAGAGAAACGGAGAGTAGCGGAGACGTTAAAAGAACACAAGGTGGTGATGTGAATTAGGCACCGCGCAGGGCAGCTCCCGGTGCCGGGTGAGAGGTCAGGCCGGGGGCCTGCTCCCCTCCCCTCCCCTCCCCCCCCCCGCTCTGACATGCCAACCCGGCAGTCGGCTTGGTAGCTGCTTGCGCAGAGTGCGTCGGGGGAGCCCGGTGGGGCAAGGGAGGGGGCGGGGAGCTGACAGGGGTGACCCCCGGCCTGGGCAGGAGCGATAGCGGAGGGCGTGGCTGAGGGGCCCGGGGTTGCCGCTGAGCGGGGTGGGGTGAGGTGGCCTCGCCCCGGGCCCGGGGCTGTAGCCGGGGCAGGGGCTGGCGCGCTGGTGACTGACTCCGCTTTGCTGTGCAGGTGCCAGCTTTCTCCCTCGCAAGGAAACAGGCCGGTGGGTGCCCGGGCGAAGGATGGAGTTCGAGCTCATGGAGAGCGACATCCTGGAGGCGCTGGAGGATCTAGGGTAGGTCTCCTTCCCCGGCCTTCCGCGGGATACACGTGTGGGACCGGCTACCCGCTCCCGGCTCGCCCAACCAGCGCTTCGCTCGGGGCGGGGGCAGGTGGACCCGTATCTGGTGGGTGACTTGGCAATTCCCGTGACGGGGATCGAGGCTGAAAACTCCTTGTGCTCGTGTGTCCATGTTAGCTCCGGGTGGCCAGTGTGACACTCGCCTATTGTTCCCTCTTCCATAGGCACACGTGAGGGGCTCCTCTAGTGGCAGAGGGAGAGGTGGGGTTTAGGGATTCAACTTCTTCAACGGAAAATCTTTGTTCTAGAAGAAACCCGACTTTGCAGGTTTTGAAATCTTTCTTACAGCAGAAAAATCCTCTCGCAGAAGTACAGCATGTCTGTTGTGTTCTCAGACTTAGTTTCCAGGGCTATTGTGTTGTGTCTGTTGATGGTTTCAGAGTAGCAGCCGTGTTAATCTGTATCCGCAAAAAGAAAAGGAGTGCTTGTGGCACCTTAGAGACTAACAAATTTATTTATGCCACAAGTCTTCCTTTTCTTTTTGTCTGTTGATGGTACTTATTTGGATTCTGTGAGTGCAGTATCTGAGAGATGGTCTACACTGGGAACTTACATTGTAATCGGTACATCTCTCAGAGGTAATGAAAAATCTACACATGTGAGAGACATAGCTATACTGACCTAACCCCTGATGTCAAATTCTTCCATCAATCTAGCTACCATGTCTAGGCCAGCTGGATTGCCTACACCAGTGGCCCCAACCTTTCTGTGGGAATAGCACATTCCTATTCCTAGAAGACTGTGGTGAGCACCAGGCACCCCGCCACCGAAATGCTGCTGAGAAGCCGCAGCGAAAAGAAGTGTCGCCACCAAAGTGCCGCCGAGAAACGGCAGGGCTTCTCAGCGGCATTTCGGCGGGCGGTTCTCTGGCGGCTGCACTCAGCAGCGGCATTTCGGTGGCGCGGTGTCATGCGGGCGCACACAACTGCCCCAAAGGGAACCATTGCGCCTGCGGGCACTGCATTGGGGACCCCTGGCCTGCACAGATGGGAGAACCCCTCCCGTCTGCGTAGGTAGTGTCGACACTGAAACATTAGTAGGAGCAGCCGCAGTGTTTTGAGTCATCACTTATCCTTGCAGCATCATTGTGTGGTGAGGGAGTACTATTATACCCATTTTACAGATGAGGGAACTAGGCACAGAGAGACTGAGATCCAAGGTCGTACAGGAAGTTTATGGCAGAGCAGGGAATTGAACATTGGGTTTTCAAGTCCCAGGCTAGCACCCTGACCAATGGAGAATCTTTCCTTTCTAGTTGAATGTTTAACGAAGGATGCCTTACTACAAAGTGTTCATTAGGCACTGAAGTCAAATAGATGTTGTTAAAAACGAATAAACCAAACAGCTTTAATATGTTAAAAGTCTCTGATTAAAATTCCCTTCTGCTTTAAGTTACTCAGCTTTAATTCCCTTGTTTCTTGTGATGTCCTCACTTCATTAGTTCTTTGATCAACATATGCTTTCATGCTGACTGGGGCGGGAGAAGCAGGAGTAAAACCTTCCCTTCAGAGAAGGGAGGAAAACAAATATGTAGGCTCTGTACATTATGAAGAAGAATAAAAGGACACAAGCCCATTTTTCCTTTTTCAGGTCATCTTTATAGCACTCTGGGCCAAATTCTTTATTCAGGGTGTACATTGATTTAACTTTCAATGTCAATAGGAGATTACACAAATGTAATGGAGGGCTGAATTTCGCCCAGTGTGGCTTTGTTGATCCATCTGGACTAAACAAAAATGCTGTCAAACTGTGGATTACAAGAGGCTGCAGCAGAAAAAATACAGCAACCAGAGCAGGGACATTACTGGAGGGAAGAGGAGCAGAAGTATGTGTGTTATGGGACATGGGGAGGCACAGATTGAAGTTTCAGTCAGCAATCCATAGATTGGATTGCTAGCTAAAGAAGTGGAGCCAGGTTATGAGAGAGATGTTAGCTGGGACGGCATTTCTAGGGAAGGGGGAATTGCTAGGAGAATCAGAGAGTGGGCCTTTCTCTTGACAAACTATTTAGGCTCTAATCCTGCAAAGATTACTTGTGTGTGTAACTTTACACCCTGTGAGTAACAACCCAAATCTTTGCAGGATAAGAGCCCTCGTATGCTGGTTGAGACATCTGTCATCTTTGACATCTATCAAGAGTTGACTGCACCAATTGTCAAAGTGGACTCAGTCATTTGAAGTTTTACTTCTTCAAGGTATCAGGGTAACTTCAATTGTTTTTGAGGTTTCTTTGATCCCTTTTCAGATGGGTATATTACATCAAAACAATCTAGCACCTTTTATATTTACTAGAGTACAAGCTGTAATTTGTGCCATTACCGTGCTGGGGGAAATTGTTAGGTTTTCTGGACAAAAAAACCAAAAACCTCCGATCTTCTAAAACCAGTAAATAACTAAAATGTGTTATATTTAGAGTTGAATAAGATTCAGCTTTGACATAGTGCGTACAACTCTCATTATAAAATCGTGCCTACTTATGCCAGGCCTGAATTTGTCCCATAGGTCTCCATACAGAGACAACTTTTCACCTCTTTAATGTCCATATTAAAGTTTTTATTCAACAGAAAATTATTCCTCCTTCACTACTTATATAACATCTTTATCCAGTGTTTCTAATTTGCATTGTCTGGCAACCCAGTAAAAATATGAAAACAAATGACATTTGGGCAATTAAAAAAAAAAAAAAAAAAAAAAGGCAATAGAACAGTCAGGCACTAGTTACTCAACATATTATGAAGCAATAATTCCAGAGAGGTACTTTAGAATTGCAGAAAGAATAGATCAATAAACTAATATCTATGATAGAAGTTGCACTCCATATTTCGGTAGCATTGCTCCGAATGAAAACATTTTGACTCCTGTCACATTTGTTTTACTCAAACATTTTTAATGTCCTGTTTCCCCATAGTTAAATTCATGAATTTTTATGACATTTCCCTGTATCTTCAACACTTAAAATATAATGGTGATATTCCTTACATGTGCACATAGATGTTAAAAAAAAAAAAAAAAATCTATAGCGGAATTAAGTCATAATATAGATGCTTAATAAGTTGTGCTTTTAATTTTACTTGCCAGTTACAAAGGTCCATTGTTAGAAGATGAAGCGCTGACTCAAGCAGTCTCTGGTGGAGCCAGTTCCCCTGAATTTACCAAACTCTCTGCTTGGCTGGTATCTGAGTTAAAGCTATACTGTAAATTAGAAGAAAATGTGCAAGCTACTAACAGTAAGTAACCACAGCCCTGAGAACAAAATTGTGCAGTTAATACCCTTTTATAGATGTGTGTTCTATAGATTTGGTCTGACAGTTGTTAAATCAATTGTACCACAGAGTACTGTGCGCATCCTATCAGTTTTTGGATGATTTCCACCTCATTTTTCAAGCTGACCCAGTGTGCATCCAACAGAAGCTGAATTCATTGTTGGGATGAACTTTCTACTGAAGTTATTTTTTCCTTTAACTGATTTTCACAGAGAGGAGTGTGTTCAGTTCTCGAATACCTTCTTATTTTTGGAGGAAAAAGTTTTATTTATCAAAATTTCAAAATAACTTTTTTACAACTTTTTGAGGATCTGATGTATTAAATTATATTTAAAATTCCAGAGGGGATGCTCTAATAACTAGAGATTTGCGTCAATTGCCTGTTTACTCTTGATTATCTTAAAGGGAAGACAAACAGTGAATCATGAAATGCTTTGTGCGGGAGGACTTGGAAATCTAAAATTTTTCATAATTTTTTTAACTTTAATGGGGAAAAACTAAATAAAACTTTTAAGAAAATGTTTAAACAATTTTATTGAGTTTTTAATGAGCTCTAATTCTGGCATTCTTCAGACTTATACTTTATGTATCAGAATCCATATTTTATCTTAAACAGGTATTCAACAGAATTCTGAATATTTGTGGAATTGTGTACACTTTTTAACCTATTTTTGTTACAATACCTAATCCTAATATTTTTCTTTAATTTTTCAGTTATAGACTTTTCTGTATTTTTCCATTTGTTTACTTTGTGCATTAATTTTCCCTGGTACAATTAGTTTCCCCTTTGGTTAATGAAAGCATTTAACACTTCAACACAAGAGACTTTTTTGTGTGTGTGTGTGTGTAAATATAAAACCACACAGATTGGCAAATGGACTCTTAATGTAAAAAGAGAATTTTAACTTGTAATCTACTCAATGTCCCTATATATCTTTTTGTTTCTCAGCGTCCTGTCTCTTTCCGTTCTTTTTCCCGCTGTTCCTTTTTTCAATATTTTCCATCTCTTCTTCCTCTCTTTAGTGTGTTCTTTCCAATAATCCTTTTCTCCCTATATTTTATTCATTTTAGTGAGAATACATTACTAGTAGAGGCAGTAAAAGATCTTGCATGTTATAAGGTTCCCACTTCAGGGGCTGAATCAAAATAGAACTAAACTGGATCTTCGTGCCTGTTCCTAAATTCTCAGGAACTTGGGCAATAGATATATATCAAGGGTTTATATATTTATAGTGCTAGTAAGTGGTATCCTAATTTTGTCTGATTTGGGCTTATAATATTTTCGAGTTGATGTCTCTTTTTTAATGCCCTAATTTTAAACTTTTTTTTTCTATTCACATTTTGTACTTCACTCAGCTTGGATGATGAAAAGCTATCTTAGTTTCACTCTAGTTCTTGGGCTCTAGGACAAGAAAACACATCTTTTGTCAATCTAAATGTTGCACCTAAGCTATTTGACTTTCCCTCCTACTAAGAAAAAGCAAGTAGGTGAGGGTCATAAATGTAAACTTAAAAGGGGTAGGTTTGTGATACTCTTGACCTTTCTTACCCAGCAGTTCCTAATTATTTACTAAGAGTACTTCAGTCAAAATTGTCTAAATCTAAGATGCCTATCGCTCTGATATTTAAGTGACACTAAGATTCCACACGGATTCCAGATTGGTATCTGTGATATCATTAGTTCCAACTTCTGTACTTTATATGGCTACTAAGTGAAGAGTTCCTAGACTGGGGGAGAGAGCAAATGGAAGCATAAGTCTGCAATCACTGAGGAACTACTTGTCCTCAAATCAGTCAAGCTGAGTCCCAAGCTTTGAAAACCCAGAGGACTTCGTGGCTTTCACCCACAGCAATATTTTCATTTTGATACTCCTTTAGCATGAATAACTTTCTGCTGTAGCCACAATTTTTTTTTTTTACCAAATCACCCTGGTCTCCAAAGTTCTGTAGTTCTTAATTAATTTATGATCACAAAATCAGGAAACTAAATATTTGAACTGATTAAACAAGTTGCTTTTTTTAAAGGTCCAAATGAGGCAGAAGAGTTCCAACTTGAAGTGAGTGGGCTTCTGGGGGAAATGAACTGTCCATATGCATCACTAACATCAGGAGATGTGACAAAACGCCTTCTCAATCAGAAGAACTGCCTCCTGCTGCTCAGTAAGTTAAAGGGAACATTTTCGTAGAGGCCTGCTAATGCAAAGATTTCCGCTCCTGTTTCTTTTTATGATTCTGAAACAGAATAATGGTGGTATTGTGTTGTTTGTTTCCCATAAGGAGTGAATAATTTTTCAGTAATTCTTAAGTAGGCCAAAATCCAAAAAAAAGAATTGAAAGAGTCACATTACACTGCCACGTCTTCAAAAAATTTACCAGTCAGTATCCAGTAGAAAAGATTTGAGGGTGGGAGAGCACCTGTGAAGACCAGAGGCAATGACCTGGTGAAAAGCCTATTGCATTCCTCTCTACAAAGGTACTGGGATGAGGGAAGCATGTTGAGATTCCAGTCAGGGTAAAGACCTTGGACTTTGCTCAGAGGGTTCACTTTTTGTATCTCACTCTGACTGGTAGATCTGTCATTAGTTTGAATCTTCTATCATGGCCTTCTACCTGACTCTTGGGATGTGGTGAATAGGTGGTGGATGGTTAAGAACTTTCCCTCTTCCACACCCCTAAAACCGATCTGAAAGCCTGACTTTTGGGGAGAGAAGGAGCCTCAGTTTTTCTGTGTCAGCCTCCTCCATAAATAGCTCCTGTATCTCTTTTTGCTGTTTGGTGTTTGAAAGCAGCATAGTAAAGTGACATTCTTGTTGACATAGAATTCCCATTGTATTTTGGAACAGAAGAACTCTAAATTACTGTTGAGATTTCTAGGTGAAATTAAAGAGAAAATGTACCATTAAATACATCACATTTTAATTCAAACTTTAAAAATTATGGGAATCACAAGCTAAGGTTACATAATCAAATCTGACATTAAACATAATGCTGAATTCTTGTACATAAGCAGACACTTCACAAGATTTTGTTCATTTGTGAGTTTTTTTGGGAGGATGGGGTGAGGTGGTAAATCCCTGATTTGCCATCTTCCTGCTGTCTTCATGTGAAAAGCTTTGCAGAGTTCTCTATAGTCCACTTCAGCATCAGTTCCTCCTTTCTTTACATAGTGTCTCCATTGCCCCCAAGAATAGCTGCGATTGTTTTAACTGTTTTCCAGCCAGCCTAGCTCCCCAGTTCCTTGGATGATCTCCTGGTTCCCCTGTGAGTCTTTCATTTATACCTCTAGCCGTCCCACTTTTTGACCCAAGACCTTAAGGAGTCCTATCAACCTGGCTGTAAATCCATGAGCTAGCCCCTTCTTGCTTTTTTCCCCATGTTCCCGATCAATATTACTCACTCTGGAAAGGCCTTGCAGGGGAAGAGCCATGCTCTGTTAGGCAGTATAATAAAATCTACTGGAGTGGGGCTTCTCAGCAGGACTGCCAGTTGCCACAGGTGCCTCCACCTTAGAGTTTCCCCTTCTCAGTGATCCCCTCAGGACCACATGCTCCTACCCAGTGATTGTTACAAATATGAGCTTTCTTTGGATTGAAAAATTACATTCTGAAATCTTTCTAAAATGCTCTGTTTGTGCCTTTATCATTTGTAAGTACTTTAATTCTCAGTAATTTTAAAATGAGATGTATCTTACTCTGAAATCTAATTTTCTTACCCCAGCATACCTCATCTCAGAACTGGAAGCTGCCAGAATGCTGTGTGTGAACACCCCTCCAAAAAAAGCACAAGAAGGAGGTGGTAGCGAGGTCTTTCAGGAGCTAAAAGGCATTTGTATTGCATTAGGCATGTCCAAGCCTCCAGCCAACATAACTATGTTCCAGTTCTTCAGTGGAATCGAAAAAAAAAGTAAGATCCAAAGGAACAAAAGTACAATATTAGAGTATTATTGCTTTCATTTAAATGAGCTCCATTGCCTCTTTTGAAACTTTTCTACCATTGGGGGATTAATGTGGTTTACAGAATGTGCTATGAATCACAAAGAAATTGCAGATATTAAAAGTGAACTTAAGGGCTTCTTCGTTGTTAAGACCTGAGGTCAGGGTTCTGTGTATCTTGCTCAAAGGCTGTGGCTATCTCATTACCATGAAGGGTTCCATATTCCTTATGCAGCTGTAGGTCTCTGAGTCATTACCTGCTGCTGAGGATTCTCAGAACCACTGAACTTAGGTCTTGGCAGGTAAGTCAAGGAGAAACTTGTTTCTAATTACTACTTAGATATTTAAACAACTTTTTAAAGGGATCTGTCATCTTGAAATCTAGTCAGTTAAAATTTATATCAAGTGAACACCTACCCTAGAGTCCCCATGTCATTTTGTGTGACTTTGATTACATTTTCTTTTTTCTTTTTTTTTTAAATAAGGAATGTTCTTACTATCTGGGGGAAACAGTGAAACTGAATGTGTGGTCGAATGCACAAATTAAACTGCAGAAAAAAAGGAAAATATTTTTTCTTTGTTATAAAAATACATTTTTGTTTAAAAAAACCTTTAACTTTCTTATATTATCTGTCCCTTAAAGTTTACATAATTACTAAGGTCCCCAAACCCCCTTTTAGAAACCTTTTGTTAATCTTTTAGGAATTTCTACTTCAGCTGAGTCAAAGTTGCTAGAAATGACTCATTTGGAAGTCTTTAAAGAGAATTTGGCTTTCCAAATTGCCCTCATTTAGGAGGGGAAAGATAATGTGGACTCAGGAGATCACAGGTTTGTTCCTTGCTTTGTCATGGATTTGAGACTTCAGGAAAGTCAGTTTAAGATCTCTGTGCCTCCATTTTCCCATCTGTAAAATGGAGAAAATGCTTTATCTCACATGGATGAACTCATTAACATGGCAAAGTTTTTCTGATGAAAGGTGCTCTATAGATAATTCTTTGTATTTATATCAAAAGATTCTGATCATACAATGTAAAAATGACATACTAGAGTTCATACTTTTTCAAAATTTCATAATTAACTTCCCTATCACTTTTTTGCTTGGTTCACAATAACAGGCAATGCTAAGTCTATTAAGCTTAAAGGGATACTGTTAGTCAGTTTAGGCCCCAAAGTCATCTTGTAGTGGAAAACAGACTAAAAGGCTAATGAGATGTTTCAGTGAATTTTTAAAAAACGTTAAGCAGAAACTTATTTTTCAGGGAATTTGCAGTGTTTGCAATCCAAACTTTGGAATATCTTGGTAGTAGTTAGAAACCAAAATGTGAAGCTGATTAGACACTGACTATAAACAAAATTGAAACGTAATGGTCGACTTTCATTGACACAATCTGAATGAAAGGCAAAAACTACAATATCATAAGTAGTGAAAAGTTTAGATTTGAATATACAGTGATGATAGCTGTATTTTCTTCTTTTGTGCATTCCAAAGTTTCTGCCAGCTACAGTAAACTTTGATTTCCAACGGTAATCTTGTTCATGCATATGGCAAATATGCAGCTTATTTAAATCAACCATTAGTTCTGCTGTTCTGTATGTATTGGGTTTTTTGAACTAGTAAGCAAAACAGATAGGAATTGGCGATGAGTGTAGTAATAAGTAGCACTTACAGTCATAAAGAATGATTATGAAATAGACAGGTACCTAGAATTATAAACTTGGAAACCTTTCAGTTGATATCCAGTTTTCCAGAAACTTCTTTGGAACAACAACATTTTGCAAATCAGAAAGACGTTTACATGCAATTCTGGTGGTTGTAAAGGACATGTTCTGGCAGGGACAGATATAGGTAGGAAAAGTTTTCTAAATTTTAAGAGAGGACCAGGCATACATTTACCAGTATATTGAAAAGGTGAAAACAACTTTCTTCAAATGGGTTGTGCTTCATGAAATGTACAAATTACCATCTGGTAGGAAACCATAAGCAAAGAGTTTGGGCAAAGCATCGCTTCTTTTTATGACTGTGGCTTTATCTGGGGCATGACTTGCAGAGGCACTGTTCATCTACAGTTCCCATTGATTTCAGTGGGAGCTGCAGGTATCCAGCACCTCTGGGAAACCAGGCCTTACATTTTGTAGGCTGCTGAAGAGAGTATTTGCATAAATTCAGAAACATGACTTGCAAGAGTGGAAAGAAGCAGTATCTTTGTGACTCATTGACCCACTTTTCCTCCAGTCCAAGTGTTTTATCCCATTTCTATACCTGCGTTCTTAGTAGTTTTAAGATGGGAAAGATGGAATAGTAGCTACACACAAATCATTTGATCAGCATATAATTTAAATGATCATATTGAAGAACGTATTTTTTATTACAAGAGGGGCCCGTTTTAGATCCTCCTTCCATGAAGTCTTCATATAAAATATTCTGGAATTGAGAATGCTATGAAGTAATTATATATAGGATAGTTTCTGTGTTTAAAGGGAAATAGACCTCATCAAATGTTTGATTTTCCATTTTAATCACAGATGTTTCCTATCTCTGAGGTCATAATGGAGTCTGTTGATCTTTGTATGTATTTTCTCTCCCTTATATCTAAGATTATTATATTACTTGTAACAATAAGAGTTAAGAATTTTCAGACACAAATGTGATTTGGCTCTTTATACAGCACAATGTATTTTGGACAGTCCTGTATCAAAACAAAGGGCCCCCCTGTGCTTCCTATATAATACCCAGTCCCTCCCTCCCTAAATCTGATTTTTGAAAAGCCGTGTTTATGGCCACGGTAGCATGTTCACAATATATGTTATTACAGCTAAAAGAAACCTTAGCAAAGGTTCCGCCTGGCCATGTTGGAAAACCTTTACTGAAGAAACCATTGGGACCAGCTCATTGGGTAAGGAACCAAGTGTGTAAGAGACTTTTTGTCTCCCGTGTCTGGTAGCATTACCAAATACTTTGTGGTTTTTTTTGTTTGTTTTTTGTTTTTTAAAATCAGTTATCTTGAGAACAGACTCCTGGCAAAAGATAGACAAGAATTCCCTTTAGCCCTAAATGTCTGCGTTTTTGCCCTAGCAGGGACCATTGCTTGCCACCCTGAGAAGCCATAGCGTTTCCAGTGGTATCTTGTCTTTTTTTCCGATTATGAATCATAAAGGAACATCTTGTTGCTGCATGAGGCTGCCTTGTCTCTGCTGCATCATAGGCTCTAATCAAGATCCTTATACAGTATTTCAAACAATTATCCAAGTACTGCTTTTTATTCTTAGCGCCACATCTCTTGTCTTAAAGACACTTTAGTTTTGAGGAGCTGTGGACTTCAGACTCCCTAGCACTTGAGGGTATAAATCCTTGCATTTCTTTGAGTTTATACCTTGTTCATATTTTTCTCCTCCTTACTTGTTTGCTCTGGAAAATACTGGAGGAAGCAAACCAGCAGCTTAAAAAAAGTGAGACGTTTCATACCTTATGAACAACATTGAACACTGTGCCGATAGGATGCTGTACTTGGGCTGCCATGAAGAAGGTAGAGCTTTCATGGCAGTCAGGGAAGTAGTGTTAGCAGCTGGGGCTTGCATTTGAGGCCCAATTCCATGACTGGAGAATGTTTAATAGGTAGATAATTGTGTGCTAAAGTCAAATCTGTGTTTAATATCTGAATCTGTTTATACCATTGTCTATCAATCATTGTTACAATTAGAAAATAATCTAGTGTGTGTGTCACACTCATGAATCTTCATTTCAGGAAAAAATTGAAGCAATTAACCAAGCCATAGCCAATGAGTATGAAGTTCGGAGAAAACTCTTAGTGAAACGTTTGGATGTAACTGTGCAGTCGTTTGGCTGGTCAGATAGAGCTAAGGTACAAATTGCTTTCTGTAAACATGCTGAACATGCGGATCACTTATGCTTTATATAAAATATCTTTTGAAAACTGACTTTCCTTGCACTTAATGGAAAACATCCCCTGATGTAATATTTTTGGTTTATGGATTTCTGAAGAAGTTTACTACAGAATAAGTTGACTACAAAATTCTGTTTTAAAACTGATGATTATTATATGATTTAGTAACTATATATGTGCATATAACTATGTATAGAGAGCAAAAAATAAAGTTAAATGGATAAATAGAAGAATAAATATTAGGGATAAGAGGGGATTGTTAGATTTTTTTCATTCACTGTCACATTAGCAATCTTACATTAGAACCAAGGAAACCAAGATTGGAATCTCTTCTTTGCATTGTTTCTGAAGAATCATGTCAGTGAATCCTGCTTCTGACCACCTCTTTACTTAGTACCAAAGTCTGTGCTGTCTGCTGAAGTGCTGACTTTTCCCCAAAATCAAGCTGCATCTGCAAGCCCAGATCCCTAGATACATTACTGTTATGTAAGGCTGTCTTGAATGTTTCCATGCACTGCAATTTGCTCTGTCATCCTGGCTGTCAGGTAATATTTTGGTATATAATTTTGTTCTTGAATTGTACCATGGAGTGTGATGTGATTTCAACCCCTTCTGAAGTTAATTGGATATGATCATTCTGGTTTCCAAACTAACTACCTGATCTCTCCCCTATGACAAAATTCCAAATATATTGATAGCAAAAATTGGGAACGATTATTTTAAACATGACAAGCATTTAAGCATGACAAGCATTATAAATCTGGCTTCTAAAATTATCACTATTGTCTAAATAATGTCCATAATGGTGCGATTAGTTAGCACTACCACATAAATTAGGTGGCCATCAACGTAGGTGAGTTTCATAGCCAGATGATGTAAAGTCTCACATCCAATGTCTTTTGACTAAATAAGTTACTTAAAAATCAACAGCTTAAAAAATAAATTGTTCTGTATTTATCTTCTCTCTGGCTTGGGATCCTCTACCATCACACAGACGGGGCTATAGGTGTCACACAAGTGATGGAAGGCAGTGGCGATATGTCAGGTTTCATTGACAAACTTGGAAGAGCTGTTTAATACTTAATGTTTCAACAGAAACTGAAAGCGAGCAGTGAGTTTTGGGCTGTGTTAAAAACACCTTGGGACTTGTGGCTGTGTCATGGTTTTGCAAAACCTGCCTTTTTTTCAAAAGAAGTGTCTTGCAGGGGCTCCAAGGTTTGATCAGCTGCTCAGATTTAGTTCAGGAAAAGCACAGTGTTCTTCACTGTATTTTCAGTAGAAATGTATTGAAAGAGCTGTTATGAACACAACAAGGGAGGACTAAGGACAATGTCTGGGCTGGGGAAATAGTTTGAATTGTGTGAGATTGCAATTAAACTGTGTAGGGAAAACTATATGTGCACAGTATTTAAGCACTGGCAATACGTTATATTTAAAATTTTATTTTCCTAGCAACTTTCAAAGATACGGTATTCATTTTAAAATATGAACTTTTAAAAACTTCTTTTTATAATTTCATTAAGAATCAAAGAATGCAGTAGTGGTAACTAATTGCTTAATTGTACAGATAAAAACAGTAAATAGATTTCACATTTGATGACAAATGACCTTGTTTTCTTCGCTGACTTATATTATGTCTTATGTATTAGAGATTTTTAAGGTTAAAGAAATAATTAGTGCAAGAATACTAAAATATTATGGCTGCTCTGTATATTGTATGTGTATTCACCTCAAGGTTGGCTTCATATAAGATCACAAGTGTTTGGATTGTAGGTCAAAAATGGAAAAACATACTGTACTTCTGTTCTTTTTCCCATGCTATTCTGTTCTTTCTGTCTTTGCTTAGTGTCAGGTAATAAAGTAAGGGTGTCATTCAGTTTTGCTATCTTTATGGTAAACATTTTACCTTTAGTTGCTAATGTAAAAGTGTAAAGTTGTTTGGTTTTCAAAAAGAATATTTTACGGTGTTTTGTTTGTCCCTGAGTAACCACTTTGATCTACCCACTACAGCTCTTATCATTCCTGTTTCCTGCCTTGAAGGGGAGCTATAGATGGGAAAACTAAAATTTGTTAAGTCACCCTGAAGATGTTAAAATATCAGGAGTTCAGCTGGGAGAACAGATTCTCCCATCCACCTGCCCTCACCCAGTGTTGTCCGCCCCAGACAATCCACTGTTCAGTTACACTAAATATTCAGTTACATCTCTTTATTCCTTTGCTCCACACCTTTGTTATTCCCTCACTGTCCTTTATCCCCAGTTGCATCTCTGATCCTATTCAATTTGGGCTCAGTCTTGATGATATGCTAGTCAAAGCTAGATGCAGCTAACTTGTGTTGTATCGAGCATGTTACTTGGGGCAGGGGACAGGGGACCTTGCCATAGGTACATTTGGGCAGGAGGTCAAGAGAGCAAGCTGTTAATGACAGAAGGCAATTGGGGAGGATGCAAATGGGAAAGTTAATAAGCTGGTATTTTCTCCCGACTGAACTTCTGACTGCTCATATTCAGAGTGACTTACGTTTATTTGCCTGTAATATCTCTTCTTGAAGTAGTTTTTTAACTTTCATTACCTTGGTCAATTGTAGCTCCCCTCAAACACAGGAAACAGGAACCGCTGATGGCAGCGGAAGCAGCATGTGAGCAAGAGTGGCTTCTTAGGAAAAAAACGAGGTAAAATATTCCTCTTTTAACTAAACGTTTAAAAAAAGAAAGTTACAGCCTTGAAAATTGGCATTGTAACTCTGCAAAATGTCCATGTAAACTTACCAGCCCATGCACATCTACTTACCTGTGGACTATCATAATTGATAAAAACATGAATATTTTACTAGCCTATCAAACAATTTACTCACACCAGGCAAGGAGAAATGTGAAAGGTTGTATCATATGTAGTAACCACCCACCCTTTCAAATGGCACGCTGACACACTATTTTATGTACGATGTAAGGAAACTGGACAGTTGTGAATTTCAGTAGATTACTTGAGGACGGTGCCCAGATGGTTTTTTGACCATTCAAAGGACCCATCATCAACACATTGGTTTACTGGCTCTTTCATTCCCGCCCTCTTTGTAATATACAGAGTTTGTTACCGAGGGGAATTATATCTAGCAGTGAACAGGAAATAGGATTATAGCAGCAGTTGGGAAGAGTTAAATAGGTTCCTATTATTTAATATAACAGGTGACAGATTTAAGAAGTTAGCATATGCAAAGCAGTAAATAGCTTTAGCTAATTAAATAACGGTTAAAACTGTGAGGTGTTAAACACAATAGCCACATATTACCCCAGTGTAATGAAATCTGATTATGGTTCAACAAACCATCCCTAAAATAAATGATCCCTTTCCTTTTTATGACCTTCTACACATTGGTATTATGTAATTAGGTGCTTTACAGACAAATGGGACATCATCTCTGCTTCAGAGAACTTACTGTGTAGGGAAGTTTATGGCTAGCATAAAACTGATTTGAGGGATGTTTTTTTTAAACATCGACTGTTTAGGAATTGTGCGTCTGCAAAAGGAAAAGGAGATGTATACAATCCGAATCAATAACTTTCATTGGCATTGTGAAGGTATTGATTAGCTGGAATTCTTTTCTAACATAGATAACTGATAATACTGACTGCCTACTCAAGACAAATACATAAATGCAGAATAACAAAATATCTTTCTCTCTCAACAATTTTCAGCTGTAAGAAGCAAATGTGTGCAAAGTAACATTTTGGCAATCAGGTTAGAATTATCATCCTTGTGTGACTAGAGTGAAAAAATAATTTGGCTCACGCAGTCCTTATTACAGTAATCCTTAAATTCAAATAAAGTGATTCTTAGCCATTTTGATATTCCTCTTGTATTTTAATAACACAAATATATTTTTATCTAGTTCATTTATTGATCTGGATCTTTTGGTTAGACACGGTCACATACTGATTCCTTTAGCTAATTGAATCATTTGTTTTTCTTTCCTCCAACAGAGTCAAACAGAGAAACTGGCTAAAGTCTACCAACCCAAACGTGCCCTTTTAACTACCAAGTGCACTATTTCCATTGCTCACCTCTTGGCAGCTCGGCAAGATTTGTCAAAGATTATGAGGACAAGCAGTGGGTCTATCCGAGAAAAGACTGTGTGCGCCATTAATAAGGTATGTCTTCAGTGACTGCTGTGAGATGGCAAATGTAACTTCGTACTAGGCTGTGAACATTAAGTCATTTCATTTTAAAATATTAAAAAAGAGTTTTGTTCCAATGAGAGAGTGAGTGTTTTAAACACCATAACATTCTGTATTTTTCATCAAAGTCAATGTAAACTGGAAAATACGTGATGAGAAAGTTATCTTCTTGCTGCTGATCCTTATGCACCAAAGCAAAGTGCGTAGTGTACTTTGAATTAGTTTGTAATTTTAGGAATTGTAACTTCTAATATTTAGGGTCAAATTCTGACACACTCGCAGTGAATAATATCATACTCCACAAGCACCCCCTTTGCTTTCAGTGTGACTCATCCTGGTGTGTTATCCTATTCTGTGTGAGTAAGGGGTTCATAATATCTCCCTTAAGATCCATGTTACAGTTACAGTTCATAGTCAACCCACACAGGGAGTGAGGAAGCTACTTGTATATTTGTGGTGTTATCATTTCACTATCAGGGTTGCAGGTGCTGCTATTGCTCTGATGTCATTAACATCACATCTAGAATAAAGAATGCAATCATTTAATTGAATGGATTTTAATTAGACGGGGTATAACTCTGTTTGCAAAATCAGTGTTTTGCTATTTAGATTCTCGTATGAGTTCTGATTAGATTACATTTATATAGTCAAGGTGCATATTTTTGTAAGAGCAAGTGTTGCCGTGGAAAGAATATTGCATAAATTAAGGAATTACACACATGCTCCTCCAAATCCCGTTATTCCCCTGAGAATTCAGGCTAATCAGACTGACTTGTACCCTGAACTTGAGTCTTATTAGCATTACACTATAGTGTATCTGTTCTTCAAAAGTTAACATGAAATGTCACCCACAAAGAATTAAAGAAAGTTTCTGTATTTCAGTAGTACTCAGTGACTGCAGTCAGGATTGGGTTTTGTTGTACTGAACTCTGTACAAACATAAAAACGGTCCCTACCCCAAAAAACTTGCATCTTGTGCCTATTTAGGCGTCAGCAAGGAGGAACAGAAGCCAAAAGGAAAGAAATGGGCCGACAAGGATGATAGTAATAGGAACACAAGGTTGCATATACTATTCACTAGGAACATAAGATTTGCCATACTGGATCAGACTGGTGATTGCATGATATTAGAACTCCTTAAACAATCTTTTTCTTACCTTTACAGGTATTAATGGGCAGAGTACCTGATAGAGGGGGCAGACCAAATGAAATTGAGCCTCCACCTCCTGAGATGCCACCATGGCAGAAAAGACAAGATGGTCCTCCACAGCAAAGTGGAGGCAGAGGAGGAAGAGGTGGCTATGAATCATCATATGGAGGAAGAGGTGGTTATGAACAAGGGGGTCATGACAGAGGAGGGCGAGGAGGTTATGATTCTTCATATGGAGGACGAGGAGGTCATGAACAAGGGGGTCATGAACGAGGCGGTCGAGGAGGAGGACGGGGTGGTTATGACCATGGAAACAGAGGGGGAGGAAGAGGAAACAAGCACCAAGGAGGCTGGACAGATGGCGGAGGAGGAGGCTATCAGGACAGCAACTACAGAGATAGCAACTACAGAGATGCAGGTTTTCAAACAGGTGGTTACCATGGTGGCGGTGGTGGCTACCAAGGAGGCGGCTATGGAGGCTATCAATCGTCTTCATACACAGGAAGTGGATACCAGGGTGGTGGCGGCAGCAGCGGTGGTTACCAGCAAGACAACAGATACCAAGATGGTGGGCACCATGGTGATCGAGGTGGTGGGCGTGGAGGAGGGAGAGGTGGCCGTGGAGGCCGCGGTGGCCGTGGAGGCCCAGGAGGAGGCTGGGGAGGCAGAGGTGGACAGAACTTTAATCAAGGAGGGCAGTTTGAGCAGCACTTCCAGCATGGAGGCTATCAGTATAATCAGTCTGGATTTGGACAAGGAAGACACTTTACTAGCTGAGGCTGCTAAATCTTACACTTCAGCAGAGCTCAAGTAATAGAAACCTAGTGTCAGAGGCCTGATCTATTGCTTCTTGAATTAGTAAAAGACCATATGTGGTGGCAAGGCCCTGTCTGGGTGAGAGGTCTTGCTTCAAGCAAGCTGTAGGTTCCCATACAACTCTGATTTTCTTTTTGTTGTTTGACTGAAATAAATAAATTGCCACTCTTCACTGGGATTAACCAAACCTTAAACCAACAGCTTAGTTTTTTAGATGGAATCCCTTTGATCAAATCATTTTGTTCTGAAATTATTACCCTGCTGTGATTGACTTCCATTCTGGGGGTATATATGCTGACGCTAGGAATGCTTTTCTGATCAAACTTGTAATAGACACACACAACATTGAAAACTAATTAAATTATCGTTTATATGTTCTGCATTTCTCTTTTTAAATATTCTTTAGGTGTATATGCTCCAAACACAGTTTTGAGTATTGCTTTTGATTTGCTGCCCTGTCATCTTAATCAAGAAAAGGTTTCTTGCTCATGCTCTCACATACCTACTTTCAAACTGCTTTCTAACTCTCAGGTCTCTTGTATCTATTATATGAGCTCTACTGCAGATACCACATTCAGTAGCCTTATCTTCCACTAATTGAAAATTGTATCTCCTGCTCAACTCTGGAGATCTCGCCTGCGGCCAGAATCTGCGAAGATCATTTTAAAACCAAGCTAAGTTGTGAACCGATAGTGTATGTAGGGCTGTAGTAAAGTATAGCAATTCAAACTGACCTGCATCCATCCAAAACAAGTTGCTCCTCTTACAAACCTAATTTTTACTTGAAATCAGCTAGAAGGAACAGCAAACTGAAATTTGTTTTATGCACGAGTTAATACCACTGGCTCAGCAAATTCAGGGCAATTTGTTTTGGGGGTTGTCTTTTTTTTTCTTTTTTTCTTTTTTTTTTTTTTTTTTTTTTTGAAGAAATGCACTACGGCCTGGAAAGACTAATTCCTGCCTGGAGGAAGCCCTTTTACTATTGCTGCAGAAAATGAAGCCTGGCTGAGTTTGATGTCTTGACATTTTTTTCCTTTACTGAAAGCCACATAATGCTTCTTGCTGGGATTTTGTGTACATAAACATTGTCAAGCTGTGAAAGAAAATGGCTGAAGGTGTGCTGTTGTATAAAAGGTGAGCAATAAAAGTATCTGTATGTTCTCCAGTTTGTTTGCTTTTCTTTAAATCATGGGAAGGTCTAAAAGAATCGTGCACTAGCAGGAAATGTATAGAGGTTCCTGGCCAGCTATTTTAAGCATGGGATGGGATGAATTCTGCATCTCTTGATGTTTTCAAACCAAGACTGGTAGGATGCCTTTCTGGAAGACATGCTTTAGTCAGACACAAGTCTGGACTTAATACAGGGGTAACTGGCTGAAATTCTATCGCCTGTGTTATATGGGAGCTCACACTAGATTAACCTATGAATAAATGTGCTCATTTTATTTTACATCGTTATCTATTGTTGATCATAAGTTATAGCACCTGAATGCAGCAATTCACAGCATAATAGAATATAGCTGGACAAATAGTATTAATAGTCACTCACTATACTAATCAGAAGACAGAGCCAGAAGAAATTCAAATTATTCTCTGGCCACTAGGTGTTGCTATTGATATACAAGTGAAGGTCACTTCAGAAGCACCAATAAAAATATATAGGAATCTAGGTCAATGTCCATTCTGTTCTCATTTAACCTATGGTCTATGTACAAATAGCTTGATGGAGGAAAATGCTTATTAGAGTAGATGGGAGCTTGCACAAGCCCTTTTTTGCAAGCCTAGTAATGTATTTGTCATAGTGTGAGCTTGGTGCTGTTAAATGAATTATGAACTTTCAGCTACAACTGAGCACTTTCACTTCACAAATGTACAGATAGCTTCCAGAGCCAGGCAGTTTGGAGTCTCTAGTTGATGCATTTGTTTTCTGATGGACTATAGTTCTTTGCCCATAGCAGTTTCTGCTGTCAAGTTAAATTTATTTAAAACCCTTCTTTCTCTATCCTCCTCTCCCCTCCCCCCGATTCTCAGGAGGGTCTGGATAGCTTTGGATTAGCAAAAGGGTGTTGAGCCTTTCACATCTAAGGTCACTGGTTCAGGTTTGGTTCAAGTTGGTGGTCGCTACTATTCATTGCTATCGGCACTTCATTTTATAAAATGGGTTGGTGGTCTCAACCTCCCCATTTGGAATTTGCTCCTATTTGCTAGCTGCCAAAGATGGAAGGTGCAAGCTGGGTTTGTTCACAGTAGCTTTTTTTCCTCTTATCTTTGCTCTAGCAAGAGATCACTTCCTCACCCTGCTGATGGGTTAAATAACAGGTAAGTACGTGAAAAGAATACCGTATTGTTAGTACTTGTCTGGTAGCCATGGAGCTCTCAAAGCAAAGAACTGTAAACAGATTAGTTCTCCCATGGCAAGGGCTGCTTATTCCTTTTCAAGAACATGGTTTTCACTAAGAACAGATGTTTACTAACTTCTAATCTTGATAGGCCCACCTACAGTGTCATTTAGCTTCACTTTCCCACTCAGATCTTCAGCTTCATGCACTTGTGTGTTCAGGCTGGAATGGCATAGTCAAACAAATGGCACTTGTGCTGAATAATAGTATGGAAACTTAACCTTTAACTCTCTTCATGGCTTTAATATTTCTGGTTTCTGAAACTTATTTCTGTCAAATAGATGGTGAGGAGAGTCATGTTGGTAGCGTGTGTAAAAGGGTGTGGGAGTCTCTAATCCCCTCCCAGAGAGAGAGGTGTGTGAGTGAGAGACTTGGCTGTTCCTTCACAGGGCAGCCTGGGCTGGAAAGAGAAGATACAGAATTTCCCACACTACTCCTCATCAAGCAGTAGGAGGGCAGAGAGAAGAACAGAGGATCTGGAGGGAGAGCTGTGCCAAGGGAGTAACAGGGCTCTGGCTAAGGGAGGGCAGGCAGCAGAAATTGTGTGTGATGGGGAGGAATCAGAATTAAATGGTGCTTAGAGGACAAGAGGGAGTGGGGGAAGGAAACCTTCCACTCCCTCTGACCTAAAGTGGACTCTTACCTAACTACTCCTCCTCATACCAGCCCAGTTGTTTTCCTCTCCCACTTTACAGAATGAAGGATTGATAGGGGATGGAAGAAGAGTGCCCTCTTGTGGTGGGGTTGGAGCCAAGAATCCTAGCAACACTCATCCAATTCTTATGGATGTAAGTGGGAGTACATGCTGAAGGTGTAGCTTCCCTAGGTGTGGGTGAGGCCCCCCAATCATAGGGGGAATAGTGGGAGCAGAATTGGTATATGGGACCCACTGAAGGGTAGGAGCTAATATCTACTTTGTCATTTGGTCCCCTACCTGCCCCAGGTAAAGAGCTGGAAGCCTGGATGCCTTTAGCAAGTACTCTGTTTCCCATGGATGTAGATTCTAAATCTAGTAGCTGCTTGTAGTCAGAAGTTGTTGGCAGGACTGCATGTTACATATTGGCTGTAAAAGACTGCCATGTTTCACTGGTTTAGATTTTGATTACTATCCGTGTTATTTAATTGCACTTTCAAGGGGCAAGAGTGTTTGAAGTAGTCCAGGTCTCAAAGTAATGCCGCCTGTGCCTTCCACCTTATTTACCATTGCTTGTAGATGCTGATAGTCAAGACAGTATAAACTAAACATCAGGGTTTACTTTTCGAACAGGAAGAAAAACACTTTCCTTCTAACACTTGCTATGTTTTTCCTTAATGCTCCATTATATCCTCTGTCACGTTGCAGCTCCTTGGTTTTTCAGGAAAGCAAATATGTTGCACGCTCTAAATCAGCAGTTTTCAAACTTTTTTGAGCTGAGCTGTTTCTCCCTCCCACCCCCACTCTCCAACCTAGACAAAAATAGACACAATACCTGTCCCTCCCCCTTACCTAGGGAGGTGGTGGAATCTCCTTCCTTAGGGCTTTGTCAAGCCTGACCTTGGCTGGGATGATTTAGTTGGGGATTGGTCCTGCTTTGAGCAGGGGGTTGGACTAGATGACCTCCTGAGGTCCCTTCCAACCCTGATAACCTGAATCATGGAATTTCAGGGTGGGGGAAGGAATGTGGGATGCTCTCTGCAGGCAGAGCCAGCATTGGGGGTGGAGGCTGCCAGGAGCAGAGGTGGATGTTGACACTGACCCACAGGCTAGGTGGCCTGCTGAGATGAGTCAGAGGGTCAAGGTGGTGCTCCATCCCTGAGCCTCACCATTCAGGGGTGGCCCGTGCCACTTGGTGTCGCCACGCATCCCTGCCGAACATTCCTCTGTGCCCCTCTTTGAAAACCTCCACTCTAAATAGAGAGAAGAGAGACGCCTTGATTAATGGAAGCAAATAGGGATTGACTCATTATTGTCTGTTTTGTCTCATTAAGTCTCTCTGACTTTTCTGTCAAAATATTTTTCTGTGCTGTTTCACCTGTCCTATTCTCCTTGAGCTGGCAGAACTTGAATCAGGAACTTGCACTGCAGAGTAAGCGTATCAAACTTATATGGGGTGGAGTTTCATTGTCAGCTGGGATATACATTCTGTATTTCATACGTCCCTTGATCCATAAGCAATCTCCCACTATGTGTTAGAGGGAGGTTTGCAGAGTGATCAAGGGGAGAACACAGTCTTCGCATACGAACTAAACTTCAATTTATTTTGTTCTGTCACATTCAGGAGTACTCAGTGAGAAAGTCATTTATCTTTAGGCTCCTGATCCCTTTCTTCCTCACCCCCAGTCTTGGGCAGTTTCCTCTGTTCTTCCCTTTTGTATTTCTGTCACTACAGCAACTCCCATTTCCTGCTTCCCTAAGGGCTTTGCACCCATCCCCTTTCCAGGCCATCTGCTAGAATGACCAGCAGTGGATTGCTTAATGTTGACATTAAAGATGACACGCCAGTGCTGACACTTTAAAGCCTAATGAGCTGATTGGGAAGCAGCGCAGTTCACACCCCTCAGAGCTGTTGTAGCAGGCTGCCTACTGACTCTGTGACACCACTGTCTGTTTAGACTTGGGTCACATTTGGAAGGTTTTCTGTGCAAGTGTGAGGCTAGAAACGTAGTTATTGTTTTTTCTTTAAATGAAAACTGACAGTCTGTTGACTCTGAATATGTCTTGGTGGCTGGAGCTTTGTAATAGCCTGTAAGGATATTAAAAATACATAGTAATAGTGTGCTCACATACTCTGCTTCGTCCTTGGATTTAGGTGATGAAGGGCAGAGTTAAACAGAACCGTTGGAGAGCTGTTCAAAATGTAGATCTATCGCCTTAATCTGACAAGCATGTTAGTGTGTCTTAGGAGACAACATACCATACCAAGCTTCTCCCAGGAGTAGTATACACTAGGTGATATCTTTACCTGTGTAACTATGCCTCTGCCTTGTTCATCTTTGGGATTGAATTTTGTGCTGGGGCCTTTAACTCAGGCTGTGGAGACTTACAGGGGTAGATCCTCCCTGAATCCGATGAGCTGGTCTCAGATGTTATAAGTGGTGGGGCCTGTAGGGGGATGTGAACTGCTGTGCAATTCTGAAGCTCAGGATGGTAACAGCTGTGTCTACTGTCTTCCTAGTGGCATTTTGATGTGTTGTGGGAATGGACAGGTCCTGGCTGTATTTCTTAGAAAGGGGTTTGTGTAGGGCCTAGCAACTCAGATGGCAGTTTCCTCCCTCACCCCCACTCTGCCCAATGGCTCTTGCTCATTGGGTGTGAGCAGAGGCTGGGAGTGATGTTTTCCCTGACTGAGGTGGCCAAAGGATCTTTCCCCTGAGCCCAAAAATCTTTAGCTGACTGCTGTTTGAAGTCGTAGCAACCTGTTCTCTGCAGCAAGGTGGAGCAGGTGATGCTATAGAGAATGACCACACAACAGGTAGGATAGGGGTTTCATGGGGGGGAAAAAAAAGGAGAGTTAGATATGTAAGGAAGGGATTCTCGGTATCGAGCAACCTGAGCAGGGAGTTGCCTAAACTAGCCAGGAGTAAAATACATCAGAAATATGGCTCAGATCCACAAAGGGATAGATTACGATTTATTGGGGCCCTGGGTACAAAGAACTTTTAGACATCATGCACTCTCTTGCCATGGGGCCAGACCACAAGCTGTGGTGAGAGCTGTGGCAGCCACCCAGGGAGACGGGCTCCCCCCAGCAACCTAAGGGGACTGGAACCTTTGTAAAAGTG